TTAACAATTGGTTCATGCTTTAGCGTGCACTATCGAGTTATGGAGCACGCGGGAAGTTTGGAGAGCACGAAAGAAGCGTAAGAGTTGCCCGAGGCGATAGCCGAGGGCAACTCTAGCTTCTTGAGTGCTCTCCAAACTTCCCACGTGCTCCATAACTCGATAGTGCACAGCTGAAAGCATGAACCAATTGTTTTAGAACATAGCCGGTGGAATTGTGCATCAAATCCGACGCGAAAAACGGACAACAATATCAGTTGAAGCGAATCGTGACGGCGCTGATGCCGAGTCTCCTTTTCCTTTGTTTTTCTTTTTTTCTGCCTCATTTAAGAACTCTAGCCCAAGGGAAAAGGTCAAAACATTGTCTTCGTTTTCGGACTAGTAGGCCGAGTTTCTGTTTGTATCCATTATTGTCGCGAAATATATTATTTTTCCCCGCGCTTATAATGGCCGCTCGCGCGAAAAAAAAAATTTCTGGCGAAGTCGGATTTGCTGATGCTATCAGCGTGCACTATCGGGATTTTGAGCACGCTTACGTATGATGAATTCGATTGCGCGACTCTGCCAGCTATGTTCTAATGTTACATTGAGTACACTAGTGGACTGAGACTTTCACAAGTAATTATTTGAATTTTGTTTCTTTTGCAGTTGTAAATGGTTAGAAGCGTGGCCAAGTCGCGTTTTTCACACGAGCGGAAGGGAGTGCTAGGCAAATCCAATGCGTGTGTCATTTACGAATTTTTTAAACGGTTAAATTAAATTTCACATGTGTAAGTGTCAATCTGTGAGTTGTTGACCCATATGCAGCGACTTCATCATGTGAGGAAGGCAGGTAACCAGCATCCAAACACTCATTGATACACAAGAAATAGAGAAAAAAATTCAAAATATTTAACGAATTAGCTATCTAGAGAAGGAAAGCTTAGCACTGGTTAATATCTTATATTAAGATAAGGATAAGTAAATAGTTTTCTGTACGTAAAAAGAAAATTTTAAAGAAAGAAGAATGAAATAGATAAAAACTTGCATTGCAAGGGATCGAATACGAAACTGGGATAACACAATTGCCAAGCAGGTGTATATCACACATCGCTACAGTCTCAGTTTCAGTATTTTATGGGAGAAAATAACGTTTTTCTTAACAAAGGGACTAAACCCGAGAATCAACTTAACTATGTTAGCGGGCTCAAGCGACTTACTTTAGTAAGCATCAAATTTACAGAGATAATAGAAAGAGTGAGATGAATCTATGAGAATTAATTAAATAAAAGGCGAAAAATTCTGAACAACAAAGAAACATTAAACAAATTAAAGCATTTTATGATTGCAGTGACAGCCATGCATTTTGATCGCGCCTTCGATCGCTGATCGACCCCACGAACCTCATTTGAGCCTGAACCATTCATTCAAGGGTCTGCAATGGATACCGTGACAGCGCATACTTCCTCCCCCCATCTTTTATTTTTCCCCAAAAAATATCGTTGCAAAAAATGTACCTTTAAGCTAACGATTATTCATTGAAAGCACGGGGAGTGCTAAATTGCCGTCCTCCTCGAAGCAGGTATGGAAAAAGAGCCGGTTATAACTTATTAAGTGAAAATGGCTTCAAGAATCTGGACCACTCTCTCAGTAAAAAAGCAACAATAGAATCAGTATTTGAAAAACAAACGAACATCACAATAAGATACGGAAATCATGTGTTCATTTAAGGAACGCATACCTTGCCTCCTCGCTGAACAAGAAATACTTAAATCTCACGTGTGGCTGTGGACACGTGGTTCCAGTTAGGACAAATTCAGCTCAACGTGTATTGCCAGAGAAGTCGTCTAGAAACTGAGAGCGAAAGAGCGACTTCACTTTATAAGTCTTGTGCAATTTAGCCGATGTTAACAACTCTGTTCGCGCATTCTCGTGTTTATCCTTCTTCCCCCCTTTTCCTTATCCTTTCTCCTTTAAACTCATTTCTGACAAATTCCATGTGACTTCTCCTCACTGCGATGATTTTTTTTCTATAATTTAAGGTTTCCTTCTATTACAAGACAAGTATCTCCCACTCAAGAAGACTGAAACATCGTGATGCAACTCCGATAAAGATTCCCTTCCGATCCACCCACCTAACTTCTTAGCCATTATTTGGTCTCGTTACGCAACAGGCTCTGTCTCCCTCACAAGATTGCGTTGCGTGACGATACCACACAGTAGCGACCAAGCAGACTACTTCCAGCGCTAATCCAGCCGTAATTGAAAGGGACTATTTCAACGATTAGACTCAACTTGTACGCGAATGAATAACCAGACACCATGTTCCCGTAAGTTTAATATTATTAAGCTGGTAAAAGAGATATCAAGTAAGTGTTACGTTACCAGGAGACTTTCCAACAAGGTCTCCCAAATGTAAATTTGAACATAAATTTAAAATATGGTTCTCTTCGTCTCACTGGGACTCTTTGGATTAAATTGCCTGTAAGATGTATGATTTCATCATAAGCAGCAACATATAAATATGACCGATGTTATGTACAAACATTGACGTAACCTGTAAGTGGCCCAACTGGTATATACGAAAGATTAAGCTAAGAAACGTCATTCCAAAATTTATGCCTGGGGTTGTATCTATCCCTCATCAGAACTAAGTGTTTTCAATAAGTTAGCTAGCTCAGCATCTGATACAGATTTCTGATCCGAATCGCTGTCCTCATTTAGTCCTTTACTTCCATGATTGTTCGCTTCTGGGGAAAGCGATCTCACGGAATCTTCGCCCTCTTGGGATATCTCAATGCTATCAAAGTAGCTCCGCTCGCTTTCCCCGTCTCTCGGCTCTTCTCCACTACAATCTTTATCTTCATGTTGTTCCGATTCTGGCAGTTCCTTACAAGAGAGTTCCACAGGTTGAAAATCTTCTACTTCCTCATCGCCATCATCGTCATCTTCCTCAACGAACTCCAAATAGTCTATCCCTTCCATCTCATCACCAGGACTCCCTGCCATATTAACTAGCATCCCCTCTTCGACGTCACGTCGAAAAGGGCGTAAATCCAGGATGGGACTCCGTGGTCGGGGATCCCATCCTGGGGATGAGGGGGAGTCCGGCTCGCTCGTCTTCCCGGCGTCTTCCAGGTCATCATGTTGACTATTATGACCATTTGAGCGACGTTCTTCATCAGGGACTAACGACTGAATTCGATTACAGCTGAGCTTATCCGCTTCTGTTGAGCCATATCCACGGTGACCTGAGAAAAAGAAATGACTAATTAATCAAAGGGACAAACCCTATTGGAAAGGAACCAAGAGAAACCAAAACAAAAAAAAAAAGGAAAAAATGTGGAAAATTCAGTGTCTAAAAGGTAAAAGTAAAGTCTGTATAACAAAGGGGCACGCATAGCTGTCACATATTACCCCAATATCCGAGGTATGGTAAGTAGCTGCAGCTGTGCGCATGATCAGAAGATAATAGGTCAATCCCCCCCGCTCCCACCACCTACCATTTCGTCAGGTTTGTCAACAGTTCGTGGTTGTGAGAGGCATCTTATATGTTTTCCCCACAAACACAAAACACAATTACATCGTTCACACTCGGCGACAAACCTTGTAGAGACCACAGTCCTGACACCTCCAACGTCTTAAGTTTCTTTTCAAGTTCTGCGACTCTGTGGCCTAAAATCCTGTAAATGATAAGGATAATATTTAGGGTCCTAACATATAGTAGGATAGGCATGATATATAATACTCTACCACCTTGGCAAACTAAGTAAGAAAAACGTTCAGTCAGCAGAATGTTTTGGCTCAATTCAATCAACCACACAGATTGCACAGAGCTTAGACATTCGTTCCAGCTCCTCTAAAATGTTTCCTGCAAGCAGGCGACAAAAAGCTACCCCCGATACATAACTGAGGCATGAATTGCATTAAGTTCAATTTCTCCCGAAAAATTTTTGGATCGCCATCGAAATTAGAGAAAGTGTGCATACAAAAGAGTAACAATCATAATCTCACTTGTTAGCACTTCTAAGGTGTTGCAAGGCAGTGTCCTTTTCAGAAAGTGTCTCAGATAAAGAGTTGGCCAAAAACTGCAAATCTGCTACTGTGGACAATGATGTACTAGAGCTGAGATGTCCCACAAAATCCGAGAGGAGTGAAGGCACAGCTACAAAAAAAAATTGTCAGTCCAATAATATTTGTATATAAAAGAACGACTCTTGATCAATTCAACAATGCAACTCTCATTACACTTCTCAAAGAATTTAATATGTATATTTACACGTATATCACAACCCCAGAACTGACTTGATACTTGTCATTTTGAAGGTATAATCCATATCGAAGGTGCTTGGAACAACTTAAAAACACATTTAAAAGGCACATCCTTTTTTACAGGTACATGTAAATTTGTATATATTGAGATGTTAATGTGTAATAATAATATTTAATACTTATATTGCGCTTTTTCTACAATAATACTCAAAAGTGCATAAATAATGTATACTGTAATTAATGTCCCCTCTACCCCTTAACGATGTTACTATCAAAGGTGATGATCACACCACTTTGAGGTTCATATAGTGAAGATGAATACTAACAACACACAAAGGTATAAAACATTATTTCTGTTGTTTTTACCATGTTTGACTGTGTTTGTGTACGACCCTTGTACCTGAGCCTGCATTATCTTGTTCTTTCGTTTCTCAAAAGTGTTCTGAAAGAAGAAAAAAATATGGTAAACTTAGACTATTTAATATATACATTTACACAGTGACTGTAGTTTCTGATATATTTAAATGTTGACTAGACCATACAAGTACGAGAAAATACGAATAACTAGTACAATGTCATTTTTACAAATGCAGATCATGTAGTTCACTCTTGTTTGGGAATTTCTTACAATGAATATTTCCAATCATCAGTTTAAGGTGCTGTTGTTCATAACTCTCACCTTGTATCTGTTCAAAGCAGACACAGCCATGTTTTTCTCCTCCTTCAGCTGCTTTATTTGTTCCTTTAAATACCTTCAAAATTTTTGTGTATAACATTGCATTTCTATTAGTTGTTATGACATAATGAACATAATATGATGGGTCAATTCAGTTTCCAAGCAGATGCTTCGTCAGGTTATAGAGCCCACATATAGTTATGTCACAAAAGCAAAAAAATGCATTTTTTTCCCCCAGGGTTAATAACGTGATAAAGCCACTTGGAATGTTGAGAGAACACTTGGAAAGCTTATAAATCACTCGCCTTTGGCTCGGGATTTATAAGCTATTCTTGTGTTCTCCCAACATCCTGGATGGCTTTATCGTGTTATAGAGCCTGGAAAAATGTGTTCTATTGCTTAATGAAAGTACATATCAATGTGGTAAAAATATTACAATAAACCATAATATTGTTAATCTGATGAAATAAAAGCTTGACTTAATCAAAATCAGCCCTATCTCAAAGGTGAGGGATGGACTGACAGCAAACACATACATATACATGTAGAGTATACACTGTTTGAATCACCTTGAACTGACCTGTTTTCCATGAGAACTGAGTCAATGTCGACAAGTCGTCTGTCATCAGCACCAAGGATAAAGTTCAGTTGGGTATTGAGCCTCTCTGACTTGTCCTTAAAATGATCTCGCTAAAGGAAAAAAACAAAAAACCAAACTGTAGTTTTGGAAGAGCATTGTTGATATTTTTTTAGATAATTTGGTTTTATCAAGTGAACTGAAATGATGAATAAATGTCAATGGGCTACCATAAAGAGTAATGCTCTTTACAGTAGCCAATTTACTTTTTATCAAAAGGTTAGCCTTATCTTGTAGCACCACGGTTCCTTTTGAAACTTAACCCATTTATCGAAACATTTTACATTCGGCTGGACTGATGCCTGGAAAGCAAAGGAAAGAGGGGACAGAAGAGAATGACATTCTTGTGCTTCATGCTCAATAAATGCAAGGATACAACATAATTAAAAAAAATTCCTTTTAAAGACATCACAACCAATTAATGTAACACACAGTCCACATGCCTGTATCACCTAAGTCTCCCTCCAGCAATTTGTTGCAAAAATACTCTTAGCCAGTCTAAATGCATTCTGCAAATCCTACTTAAGATTCTCATGAGTAAAATTTAATGTCCTATTACGACTTGAAAAATATACAATATTTATGTGTACATGTACATTATGGTCAAATAATATTATACACACCTCCATAGCAACCTCAGCTTTCTCATCGCTGATAGCAAGTTTGTCTCTTTCCAACTCCATTATCTGCATATTTAGGGTGATAAACACAAAAAATAATGGTAATTGAATTGAGTGGAGTACAATTCAGTCTGAACTCACCAGAACGATTTCAGACCAAAATTGCATGACATGAAGTTCAATCACCTCTTTATTACATCCACTTTGAAATCATAAAATTCAGTTGCTCAGATACAGGATTTTTTCATCTTTACAAGTGTTTTGTTGATCCAGTAGTGAGCTGGTTTGCAGGAAGTTGCAAAGTTGTAGCAGCAGTTTGATTGTTTTTTTTGAACATTCAAGAAATTGGTTGTTGTACATACTTAAGTAAAGCTTCCTCAATGGCTGGGAAAAAGATGTGATTAGAGGAAAAAAGGTCCGTACCTAAATCCCACCATACATGTATAACTGATTCTTCACTTTTGTAAAATATGAGGAGCCTGTAGCTTGCATAAGCCTCTTGGTTTCTCTACAAGTTACCTTTCCACATGCTAATTTTCAATTATATTATTTTAATGTGTATGAAATTTCTTTCATTTCTACCGATGTGTTAAAATTACAAAAAGGCAAAATAAACAAATAAGCAATGAGCAAAAGAAACAGTTGCTGTGTGAACCAAACAAGTGTCCAATCTGCCCTTTAAGCAAGCTCATGATAAATCTGCATCTAAGACTGGATGTTATGGTTGGCAACTAGAGATTCTTTGAATAAAGGCAGACAGTTTCGAAAGAAACTGTTTGGGGCTGCGTCGGTGGGAGTAACGAAATAATTTGGATATATCAACAAAGTTGAAATGGTAAATTGGCCACCGTAACGATTACAAAAGCTGACGTTTCGAGCGTTAGCCCTTCGTCGGAGCGAATAGAGGAATCGTGGGTTGTGTGTGCTTTTGGTAATGGTAATGGTAATGGTTTATTAGATATGAATTCGGCACTAAACTGAAATACTTCATATTTACAAGAAATTACAAAAAATATTTACAAATTAAATGAGACTATATAATTAAAAATTTTGCTGGGGGTCTGGGTTACCGGCTCACAAGATTCTATTAATAAATTATTACAAACGTGATATAAGTCTATTGCGATAATTCATTAAGCTTTGACGTCATTGCGGGAAAAAACTTATTTGAAATCGTTTTGTCCTACATTTAAAAAGAGTCAAGTTATTGCTGGAGCGCAGCTGGCGGCCGTGTGCATCTAGTCTTTTCTGTGGAATTAATGATGACAACTGTGAGTTTTTAATTTTCTTGAACTGTTCGAGGCAAAGACGTTCCCTATTTTCTTCCAGTGTGGGGTAATTCAAAACATTACATGCAGTTCTGTAAGAAATTAGTGGTTTGATTATCCTGAAAGCTCTTCTTTGTATCTGTTCTAAATTATCCACAAGGTAAGATGGAAGGCTGGAATGCCATACCGGGTATGCGTACTCCAAAACAGAATGTATTAGAGCAGTATAGACACTAAGTAAATGCTTGGATGGAGGGCCATTGCGGTGCAGGACACGAAGGATATAAAGTCGCTGAGCAGCTTTCTTTGTAATGCTAAGAATGTGACTACGCCATTTTAGATCATCCTGAATGAGCACTCCTAGGAGCTTGTGACTTTCTACTACTTCGATTGAGGTGATATTAATAGTCAACTGTAATAGAGTGGGAGGTTTACGTAGGAAGCATATTCTGAGTTCTTTGCACTTTTTTGGGTTCAATTTCATGTAATTTGAAGAACACCAGGTGGATATATCACCCAGGGTGGTTTGGATAGTTGATGAACCTTCTCGAGGTAGAACTTCAGCAATGGTTAGGTCATCAACGTACTTCCAGAATGAACTGGTTGGAGTAAGCTCATTCACCATAACTAAAAATAGTATTGGACCCAATTTAGTCCCTTGTGGGACCCCAGCATTTACATATAACCAGTCAAAGAGGAATCAATAATCTTGACTCGTTGTCTTCTATTGGATACAAAACTACAAATCCAAGGTAATAAAGACCTACGTACCCCTAAGTTAATAAGTTTGAGCATTAGGATGTTAAGATTTATCCAATCGAATGCTTTACTGAAGTCCAGCATACAAATACGCAAAGTCTTACCAGGGGGTAGCGAGGCTAGATAGCCATTCGTGGAGCATATCCATGAGACACAGGTTGTAGATGTGCCTTTCAAGCAACCAAACTGGCGTTGACCAATTTTACTCTGGATATCTTCGAGGACCCAGTATGCAATGAATTCCTCCAATACTTTAGAGAGGCATGGCGTGAGTGAGATAGGCCGGAGGTCACTGAGGGATCTCAGTACAGACTCTTTGGGAACAGGTGTTATGTTCGCAGCCTTCCAGATGTCTGGAACAATACCCGAAGCTAAACTTGAGTTAAACAGGTTTGAGCTGGGTCAGCAAACTCAAAAGCGAATTCTCTAAGGATACGTGCAGGGATGTTATCTGGCCCTGTAGCTTTAGATGGATTTAGCTTGAGCAGTTTTTGACACACTTGTGGTGGGCTGATGAATGGTGCTCTCTCAGAGCATGGTAAGTAGGCTGGGAGTTGGCATGGATCTAAAGCAGGAATGTCCTCATTTACAGAAAGGAAGAACTTATTTAAGTCATTAACCAGCTTGTTAGGAGATTTAGTCACTCCATCGATAACAAAACTGTTAGTAGAGGTAGCTGATGAACAGGATTTACCAGAAACTTTGTTAACATAGTTCCACCATTTTCGAGAGTCTGTTGTTTTCAGGTGTTGGATTTTCTCCGAGTAGAATTGTTTCTTTCTTTGTGTAATAGATGTTTGCACCTTGTCACCTTGTAGCTTTTAAAGTCTAAATCCCACAGGGATCAACGAACGCTTTTCATTCCACTGATTTATTCTTGTTTTTCTCTTTGCCATGTTCCCACCAATAACGTAGCTCCATTTTCTGCCTTTAAAAGCACACACAACCCACAATTCCTCTCTTCGCTCAGATGAGGGGCTAACGCTCGAAACGGCAGCTTTTTTAATCGTAACGGTGGCCAATTTACCATTTCAACTTTGTTGATATATCCAAATTATAGATTCTTTGGATTTCTTTAGCATGACTGACTGAGACTTAATTGCCACTGCTTCCCTCTTCAACCTCATTTATACCCCAAAGTAAAGAGGGGCTACTGGGGCTAACTAAAGAAATAGTCTTTCCTAAGTTAGAATATGACAAAATACCCTGGCTGGGGTTTGTAAGGCAACCTTAAAATCCAGACTTCAGTACACTGAGCATTTAATGCTTAACCTAAAAGTTGCAGAAATACAAATGCAGATCTCCACCATATTCCTCTGTGAGTTCCTACAATGTATGTTTCTGGAAGCAAATTGCTGCAAAATCTTGTACACCCAGCATTTCACATCAATCTGGTGTCTTGCGTATTTTGGCATTTACTCCATTCCATCTCCCTCCCATTAAAATTTTACATCAGTTTATAGTCAAATATATTCATCTGACCTTTTCTTGACTTTTCTCTAGTTGGGATATAAGATCCTGACGCGGATCCATCCCATCATTGCAATCCTTGACATTATTGTTGGATTTCCTTTGGTTGGCTAAAGTTTCCCGTAGGAGCTGGATGTCTTCCTGTGCATCATTGTAAAGTTGACGCAAATCTGCAAAATCATTCTTCAGAGCCTTATTCTCTCCACGTGATTCACACAAAAGTTGAGATAGAGTCTGTCACAACATAGAAATTAAACTCAAAGTTAAAAATGTATAGGTAAGTACCTTACACGAAGGAACTTAGTACATAATGATTGTATAATTATTGATTTATATCAAGTGAAATAGCCAATACCCCTGTACATAAATTTGTAGTTTTTAACTTCTACCCAGGCAGGCATAAATTTTTAGCATAAATTAATTAACTGCTTAACTTCAAATAAGGGGGGATGGGGTAACTCTGAAAGGGATACTATCGATCCGGGCAATTACATGATTGTACACTTCCATGTAATGAGTTTTTCCTTTCACATAAAAATACAGTGATAAGAAAAAGATATCAAGTCAACCTTCTGTTTTCTTTCTCGCACATGCCTAAGTTCTTGCTCCCAAACACTTTGACCAGAGAATGACAATCTCTACAAAAAATTAAAATGTTAAGAATCAGGATCACATGCATGAAAAAATGTCCACACAGTGGTTTCAACTACAATAATGATCAATACAAAACCTACAGTGACATCATGTATTGTAATGGTCCAACTGGTGATGAGTAAAAGAAGTGTCATACATGTACATGTAGTTGATACTATTAGATACTTAGATAGATAATTTATATAGATATGTTTAATCAACACTTTTGCAGGCAGAGTTGAATTACAGTGCAGGTAAGAAATTACGCACACAATATAACAATGATATAAATAACACTGATAATATTTCAGCAATTTCTCATGTATGAATAATATAAGTAACCCTTAATATATAATATTTCAATAACATGCACAACAATTCCTTACATTCAAAAAGTTATCATAAATAAGCCCTCAAGGGTTATCCCTTATGGGGAAAAATTTATTGGACAGGTACAAAAAGCCACCAATCTATTTGTCCCAACTCTGGGTCTCTCTACATGGAGTTCACATCACTTTTTCTTCTGTTTCAGATTGTGATGACATACATGTGAACAAGGAAAAGGAATAATTTGAAGACCACACGGATATATAATAATTTAAAATGAAGAAAGTCAAGCAATGTATTATATAAATTAACCATTTTATCTCTTCGCTAAATGTAGTCTGTACTGTGAGTGGAAAATATAGAACCTGGATTTTTGCCCATTAAATCACTAAATTTGCTCGTTCCTACATCACTACCACACATATAGCCATCATTATTTCACAGTATTCTCCAGGTGTGATGTACACATTGTTGAAGGATCCACTCCATACAATACCCAGGATTATTTTTCAATATTAGTGAGAAGGATATTCAATTAACAGATCTAGAGAAATCTATAGTCTGTTTTAATTTTTCTTTATGTTTGGAAACATTAGAAGACATTTTAGAAAAAAGTATGGTGACCATTTTGAAAATTCTTTAAACAGCATATTAATCAACTCTCATAGAAATAAGGGCTGATAGTTTTGAAAGAAACTGTTTGAGGCTGTGTCGGTGGGAGTAACGAAATAATTTGGATATATCAACAAAGTTGAAATGGTAAATTGGCCACCGTAACGATTACAAAAGCCGACATTTCGAGCATTAGCCCTTCGTCGGAGCAAAGGGCTAACGCTCGAAACGTCAGCTTTTGTAATCGTTACGGTGGCCAATTTACCATTTCAACTTTGTTGATATATCCAAATTATTTCAACTCTCATAGGGACGATTATGGTAGGATGTGACATAACTTTTGACATCTCTTTTGTACATCTTTATAATCACCTAAGCAATGCGAAAAATTTAAAGATCAATAACACAGTACAGGTATTTCTCATACTTTTTTAACTGGTGTTGACTGATTTGATTTATAAGCTTGTTCCTCTCTCTCCTTGCGTTTGTAATCCTCAACCTCTTTTAGCTAGAGGATAATGAACAGGAATATCAAGTATCATTACAACAACAAACAAAAAAATTAGATCAAAGCTTGTACCAAAACCAGATCACTTGACAATAACCTGGACTGTCTAAGAGACTTCTTTGTTGTAGCTGTCCATTTCTGAATCAATCATATTTTTAGGATATTAATCAATTACTGCAAGACACAACTTTGTACAAGCTTTAACTTTGTTGTACCAGCTAATTCATTTCTGTTACAAAAATTTAATAAAGTCATTGTTATTTATCAATAGTTTCATTGTTACTTTTATGTTCTGTACACAAATTCTGTAGACAACTTATTTGTTACATTCTACTTTGAATTCACATGACAGATTTCCTAACTGAGACAATTTTGGAGAAGTTAGTGATAATTTGGGTCTGCTACAGAATTAGACCTCACAAATATCTTACCAGTTGTTTAATCTTTGTCTTGTAAATGTCTCTTTCCCTTTGACAAAGTTCCAAGTCACTTGTTAGAATCTTTAAAGCCTCCCTTTTACTATTTAATTTCTTCTTACAAATGTTAAACTGAAAAAAAGGAACCCAATAAAAAATGAGTGGCCTTATACCAGCATAATATACAGTAGATGTCACTATACACATTGACCACTGATAAGTCAGAGGCAATTGGACTAGGCTCAAGTTTTTTGGGAGTTTGAAAAGTATGCAAAGTGGAACATATTAGCGTGTTGCTGTTTCTATTCATTTTCTTCAATGATTTATGAAATTTCATTGTCGTCTGACTGATTTTCTTTGTTCCACTTATCAAATAAAATTGTATCAGTATTTGCCAGCCATTCTAACTCTTAATTGTCTGAAAAAATTTTTAAATTCTCCACCATTTTTTTTTTGGTAACTTTGATCAAATCATCACTTGCACAATGAGAAAATCTGTTTATCAACTGGTTCTCTGTAGTACAAATACAGCGTGATATTTGTACTTGTCTTAGGTGTTATTATTTTGTACTCTATGGAGCGTAGTTGGATGATAATAGTATACATGTGAAGTATGCACAGATAAAGCTCTTAAACTGGACCCCTCAGAGCTGGCCACAGGCACGACAAAGGGTTTTGTTTATTTGTAACATTTCACAAAGAATTTAAGAACATTCAATTTGTTTCTAATCAACAATATATTGCTAGACAAATTAATGATAATTTGGAAATAAATAAAACTGAGAACAATGATGACAATGCAAGTACTGTATTAACATTGTATTGCTTTGGGAGAATTGACTCGTTTCCTCTAGGACTGAAACTGCAGGTCAAGATCGTTGAAAAGTTTTTGGAGCATCTTGATCCTTCTTGATCCAGGATACTTGATTCTCTTCTCAATACTTAATACTCAAGCTTTGATACTCTATCCTCTGTTCTCAATTAAGTTTTCAGCATTGAGGATTGAGATTTGAGTTGTGACTGTCAACTGACTTTTGAGGAGTACTGTATATTTGGGGTCCATGGGAGGATCTATATTGCATGCACCCCTCTTCCATCAGAACGATGGGTTTTATATAGGGAGTTTAAATTATTTCTCAGGTGAAGCTGAAAATTTTCAAGTTGAAGCCTTTAAGCAGTTCTTTTATAGGAACCAAAAAAGTAACAGAAGTAAGAGTAATACAGCGGATTACTCTTGAGAGCTGGGTATAATGGACTTCATATTAGATCAAAGGTTTGGATTTCTATAATTATAGTAAGGGGGTGCAGATGAAAACTGGAACACCCCTTGTAGCTGCAGTAAAATTATAAATTTCACAATTTATAGTTTGTATACTATTAAATTCTAAACCATAGACAACTGTTGATACAAACAATTTGAATCCATTATCCTTCTCATCATGAATCAAAACAAACAGTAAATAATGAATTAGGAGGCGTAAAACTAGTAAAAAAATACTTTTATTTCTTTCAGACTCTGTATACCTACGAGTTGTCCAAAAATGAAGTGTGAATGAAGAAAAATTTGTTCGCCCTACAGAGCAAACAAATCTCAGGAGCGAAAAAAAAAACCTTAGAGATCGATCGATTGTCGTAGTATTCATAAATTATTTGAGAAGATGGTTAATATTCCAGTGCGCCCCTCTAGCAAATTCATGATCTATACAGAGGAATTGACTTATCTCTCTTAAAATGTAGTTGAATGAAATGCATGAATAGATAATTCAGGTAAATTGGTTACGTTTCGTTCTTACTTTAATCAGAAGAAGTATAAAATCAAAACTAAGTTATTATGCTGAGCGATACGTTGGCAAACATAATATTTAGTTCTACAGATCAGCTGATTTCCTTTGAAAATCACTTACTTCGTTTACTAGAATGGTCCATTCTCTCTCACTCCTCGCTAGAGTCATTCCATTAGAGCCAAATGACGTTCAAACGAGAACAAGAACAAGAACAGGAAAAATACATGAAATCTGAGCACAAACAGGTTGATCAGTAACCCTTCCTCACTCTTTATGCGTGGCAATTCGTAATTATTGGCAAAGCTAACGAGAGCCTGAGCCCTAGTACTCAGACCCCTGCGAATGAACAGCGCGGGGAAAACCACCAGAGGTGGAAAACCCCCTTTTTCTGTGAGAACGATAGGTTCCATATACAAGTTTTTTTTATTACTTACTTTTTTACAATTATCTGTGTAACTGGATGAAGCAACCGAAAGAGTAATAAATTATTCACCTGTCAAGCAATTTCGCGGTTAGCATATTTTTCTTTGACATTGTCAAAAGATTTTTCTCGTCAAAATTTCACCGTAGTTCGTACAGTTTCTGGCTAAAATAAACTAACACGAGCAATATTAAGACTATGAGGTATCACTTCATCGAAAAATGTTCAATTTTAATTACAGAAGGTTCACAGAAATACAGTTTAAGAGTGATTGCATCATGACAGCTTACAACAAGGGTGACAAACAGTTCGTTGTCGGAGGCGGATGTCCAACCAACGGTTACACTTTCTTCCATAAATGATAAACTGAAAACTATTTAGTATTCAAGTCACACTGCCGGAAAAACATGCAACAAGTTGTGAAACGATAAAAGCAACAATTTAAGAATTGACACAACATGCAACTGCAAAAACAATGGCTTGACACGGCTTCAGCTCGAATAGCCGAATAAGACATCTACTCATGTCACTTCATAAGTAATTCTAAAAATTCGAGAAATAAAAAGCGAAAGACCAGTATAAGCTTTAAAAGGTCTGAAAATATTTTCTACTGTCCGTATTGGCACAAGTAGTTCTGTTTAAAAGTGCGCACAAGGTACTTCGTTAAAAAATGGTCGAGTAAAAGTATCTTGCTAGGCGGAAAATTACCTCTTTAGGCTTAGCTCCAGCTAACCTGGGAGCAAAGGTTTGATATTTGTCTATTTATCCATTCATCTATCTATTCATTCATCTATCTATTCATTCATTTATCTATTCATTCATCTATCTATTCATTCATCTATTTATTCAATTTTTGCCTTCGCTATCGCGAAAACAAAAGAGATTCACGAACACGACGCAGTGAGGTTTAATGTTGTAGTCTATAACGGCCACCTTATGGAAAGAAATGATGTTTTTGCAGAGAGTTTTAAGTTTACCTGAAAATTTCAGATGGCTATTTTTTTTTCAGCTAAGAACCACCGCTCATTGCGCACTTAACAAACTGATGATTTCTACCGCCTCTGAGACCGAAAAAGATCTCTTATGTCGAGGGTTCGTGTCAATCGATACAGACGCATGCGCGCTCAGGACTCAGTAAGGTTTATAGAAGGAACTACTCCGGCATACATGTACGTTTTAGCTAAGATACAGTTGTTGATGCAGCCGCATTTTGATGAACTGGCATGTGTTAACTCAGAAATTGCTTTGTTTCATATATCAAGTCTAAACCTGTACATTGCTCATAGTTAACTGACTAAGGCAAAAATGTATTCCGGTAATACCAAATACAATGCAGTTTGTGGTCGTTTGCATTTTTTTACAGAGCCGTGTGAGATTTAATATTGGTCCATAATCTTCCTTCACGCCCACTAACTTAAGAAAAATATTCATTCCCGCCAAAGGCAAGGAAAACGTTGCTTGATGGCTGTTCTCAGGTCCTGGAGGCGCCAACAGTATATAAGGGGATTGATGGCCGAATTGGCGTAAACTAGGGTTTTTGCTAGTTCAAATATAAGCCGCTTGGTTGCGTCTGTGCCTCGCACTGCAATCACACTGGCTATGCAAAGGTATGGTAGATAACAGAAGAGAAGGATGATATAAACCAAGAACATTCCTGTAACTGACCTCTTAAAGTGTGCCGCAGAATCGTGCGTGTTTTGTGTGGTCTGTTCAGCGGAAGATCGGATGTTGTGACGCATTTTCGTATTGTGATACCGCAAGACAAGATATATACGAAAAAAGCAGCCTGATGTGATTAGAATACAGAGTGAACCGACAACTATCGCAATGGGGGTTATAACAAAAGGATACCACGGCCATGTAAGAAGAGAAAATGCAGCGAACAGCCACACAAGGACGAGAAGAACAGTGACACGGATGTTTGTCACTAGCTGTTTATATCTAAGGTGAAGATATAGCGATAAGTATCGATCAATAGACACTGCAGTGACACATAACAACGAAACACCGCATAGATAAATGGACAAGGAAGCAACAGCAGCTCCAGCTACACAAGCCATGCGGATAAGTCCTTGTATTTTGGCCACAGTGTAGATGACAGCCAGCGGCTGGCTTAACAAGCCGACCCCAAGGTCTGAAAGCGCAAGGCTAAAAAGTATAACGTATGAAGGCGTACTTAAAATAGGCGTTTTCCAAACAGTAAGTAAGATGCAAAAGTTCTCCAAGGTGGAAGCGATTGCCAAGAGAGTTCCCGCCACACAATTTGCGATATACCAGTGGAAGAAGTCGCCAATTTTGAAGTCAGCTGCGTTCAAGTTGAAGCAAATCGTTCTCACTGCATCATCCGACAAGTTCATGGTTACATTCGGCGAAAATTCTATGATTGCTGGTATCAAACAAGATAAATAGTAAATGACAAACGAATGTTGATAAAAAAGGAAACAGGAGTAGGTTGGGATTGCATACAGAAATAGTTGGACGGTACGTGTCCTCTTGGTAACATCTATGGCTCTAGTGATTCCAAACACGACATAAGTTTATTTAAAAAAGAGTGAACTGAAAAGAAGATATTTGCTCAACAAAAGACAGATGCTCATTCAAGATGCTTTGTATGGCATCCTATTGTTTCACTCTTCAAACCTCATCCCCTCTTTTTGCATATCTTTTTCTATCATGTATCACCTGTGTATACAGAAAAACTTAAAACATGACATAGACCCATTTTCTATGCGGAAGCAGTCTTATTGAAAATAAGATGATCCAAATGCACCATGTACACATACCATCCGATAATAATTGAGAAAGATGCTCCCATTACTTCAGAAACCTAAGGAGTTGATACAAACAAATGGAATAAGATTTGGCGGATGTGAGAAACTTATGCAAAATGTTTGTCCTTTTCGCCGTTGCAAACTATAAGTCTCTTCACGAGTTAATCGATTTAGCCCTTCATTTTTGTTTCAATTTGCTCCCGTTGGACAATTTTCAAGAGAACTTAAAGTAGTTTCTAGGGCAAGCGCAACTCTATTGTCACTGAAAGCCGTCAGTAAACTCTGAACAAGAACAAAGAGGTAATTTTCGTTTGCATGCGATGTGATGCGAATGTAACGTAATGTAGTGCGTTTAGTGGCTCGGCAATAAGGCAAAACCGAAACTAATTTTTCAAACCAGTGGTTCAGAAGAGAGTTTTTAAAACATTACGAAGAACCAATAAAAACTCAGAGCTAGAACACGTGACCGATATTATGAAGAATAAGAAACGCGAGTTCTGAATGGTTTAGAGAATGGCGCGATTTTTTTAATTGTACCTACAGAACTTAGAAAGTAAAACGAACGCAAACTACATCGATTTGCTTCGACACTCAAATGAAATTACTCTGGAGACTAAAATGCACTGGTTTGCGCATCCCAGCGTTACGCGCGGTTTCCGACTCCGGATATTGCTCCACGCTAAATGATGTCTATTAACGCGTGCAAAAAGCTTCTAGAGCATACTTCTATTATCTTACTTGCGTGGAGACGAGGGCTAGTTATGTAAACAGCTGAAGCGTTAAAAATTTACAAGAGAATGCTTACTGGCTTTGATTAAACTCCTACGGTATTCCGAGTGTAGCGACCTTTGCGATTGGTCGACGTATTCCTTCAGAAAAGACGTTTGTGAGCTTTTAGTGCGTAGTTATTACCAACAATGAATTGAAAATTTGCGTTAGTTCAACTGAGTTTAATTTGACATCGCGTTTGAAAGAGTCGAAGATCACTGCCATCTAAACGCCGGAGAAAATAACTTTTGGACCCGTCTAAGACCAGAAAAGCCTCTATCATTCCAAATTCGTGTAACTGGAATACATGTACAGTCGCTGACCCCTTTCCAACGGGTATGGTTCAAAAGGCGAATTACTCATATACATTTAAGCTGACAATACTATTGTTGAACTTTAATCCTGTTGCTTCGCCTTTACGCGTCATATATATCAATTCTAAATCCGTAACTTGCTAATTTAAAACCGACTTAATTCATTATTCATATTTGATAGAAAATAGCATGTAGTTCCTAGTAGTTTTAGAAGAATCGTGTGTGCTTTATCAATAAAATGGATCCATGATCTTCAGTTCCTTCCAGTTGATCATTATTCTGAAATCCTTGCATAGATGCCGAATGTTTACAAAAGCGCGCAGCGCGAGTTATATTGTACGCAGACCGCCAATCATCATCGGTAGCACTATTTAAAAAGCTACACTGGATTCTTTTTTATGCAACATAGACAAATGCTCTATTATGTATAAACGTATACATGGGTCTCTACCAAGCTACCTAGATGATCACCTAGTAATTAATCACAAACGTCATTCACGGAATACACGGTACGCTAATTACAACGCTAGTTGCCCTAAATATAAAAGAGAAACCGAGGGTGGACGCACATTTGCAGTATAAGCTTCAAGACTCTGGAATAATGTACCCTTATCTACGAGGAAATTGGATTCTATCAAGTGGATAACACCCTTGGGCTTTGTTATATGAACAGGTGCAAAACGCCACAAAATGGAAAGCATGATTAAAATTTAGTAAAAAAAGATAGCATTAGTCCAAAATTAACTTATCTTATCTTAACTGTTTACGAAATTTTTTAGTCGAGTCGGCGCTTCTTATTAAGACTGATAAAAATCAATAGTAAATGATAAAGGATACACGTACATCTGGAACTTTCCCTTAAAAGAGTTCACCAGAACCACGTATTCTCTTGAAAATACAATCGTATGAGTCTTGAAAATACAATCGTATCATGCTTGCCCGACTTGATACAAATTCAAAAATTGTAATCAGATTTTAAAGGAACTATCTCCTCCAGAAACAGTTCTAGAACAACTCATCAACTGCATAATGCCTGTTACTAAGATTTTTAGCTGAGTGAGGCGGGACGGAAGTTTGAAGACCACGTTTTGAGGTTAAAATCGTGCTGTTGTCACGGGCAACTGGAGTGGCTCCGTTTCTAGTGGCAACGGGCTCTCACTTTTGATGATGGTGACGCACAGCCTTTAAGTTGTTGATGACATTATTTTGCGGTAAAAACCCCTTGACCAAACTTTTTCAGCGCCTCACTCACTCGATAATCGTTGTCGTAGTCTTTGTCAAGATCTTGTTAACAAATTGATTTGAGTTTTTCGTAATTATCATCCACTATTTTGTTCTAGAAGTGTGCCGCAGTTTTTATTCCGACACCCCCTGTGGCCTCAAACTGAGAGCCAATAGCAAGATTACCCTCTATCGATAAAAAAACCCACATCTTGTTCATCCTTCCTACACTTATCCCTGACACCTCTCTGTTTAGTAAACTGCAATGAGAGTATCTTTAAAAAGTGGAAAAACTGACTTAACCAAAAGCAGGTAAGTGTACCAATGATACTCGTTACAATTCTTCAGACGTTTCTCTCGACATTGAAGGGCTTTTCCAATCCCGTATTCCGCTTCTATTGTTTATTTCGTCCGCCATCTCGCCGCAATGAGCATTTTCCTCCAGATTCCGCTTAGCTGAAACAAAGTTTTTCCTCCGCAAGGTCCTATTTCAACTAGTGGACAACTTACATAGCTTCCATGTTACCGATACTATCCGCCCTCATTAGGAATTAAAATAAAGACTTGACTAGTTTCTTAGAAGCAAAGGTTCAGTCAGACGCAAAAACGCCACAAAAAGATAATTGACCGAACTGAGTAAACAAAGACCCTTGTATTTCTAGTTACTCGTAAATTTTAATAGCTACACTTCCGTCAGCTCAGGTGATCGTGAGCAGCAAAATGCACCCGCGTAACGCAGCACTCTATACTTACTCCCTTCGAGAATACGAATCGACTCATTGTTCAAACAAACAGATCGGCCAAATCGGAATGTTGCCCCCTCGAAAAAAAATGCTTAATATCTCGAGTAGTTTGCAATTTCCCTCAATTGCCTTCTTCCTAAGAACTTCACCCGCACAACTTTCTTCATCGCTAGTGGAGTCGAATTTTGTCACTTCGTCATCAACACTGTCCTTCTCTGTTTCATACAAACGTGGTGGCATGTCTCTGTTTGCGACATTTGAGGTCGATTGAAAGCGTACTTTTTTCCAACCTTAACTTCCGGTTAATATTGTGGTCATTATGTGATCTGGAGGAAATCCAATTCAAACCAGATTTGTTTCCTGGTGCATGCACTCTTCTTGCCCAGCCTCGTAGTATTGGAACTTCGCCTTAAGTAGATTTGACGCGGCCGGAGGTTGTGGAATTGATCGTATTTCAAAAAGGCCCAATCATCTCTCGGCGACTGAATATCACGACCCACAGCCTGCGTAATAATAATCCGATTACGAAGTCGAACTTTTTTAATATTTCTTTAGCTGCGCTACCTAAGCCTCGCATGCACACATTGGTAAGCTGTGGATATTTGGTTCTTGTGATCAGAGTAACGACTTTATGCAGATTTTCTACGTCCAAGGTCATTCAGTCCTGTAGATTACTGTTGCTGTCAAACCTCATTCAGGGAAGTTTAAAGAAAGAGGCCTGCAGCAGTTTAGTTCCCTGATAGATGGGAGATCGTTCTAGCCTCTCCTAGGCAAAATTTATTCTTCCATACGTGTTGTATGACGGAAACCGTATCCACCCACAAAAACGAAGCATATCATCAACGTTGTTTCATCCCACATTCCGTCTTACATTAAAATCATGATTTCGAATCCCTATTCCCTAACCTGCCAATGCTGAACTCTACCACTTCCATGTCAATGTTGGTGACGAAAAAATTGGACTGTCTGAAGAAAATTCAACATCGAGAGAAGAGCGGACAGTTTTAAAAAAAAACGCGACAAGGGTGGAAGCTATCTGAAGTAGTTAGAGACAATCAGAGTTGGTACATAATCATATGAAAAACCGGAAAGACATTCCGATCTGGATTTCTTGAGAAGAATTCGAAGTAAAACCTAAAGTCAGCCCATTTCAACTTGACACGACTTGATAATCATTTGATACCAAAATAATTGGTACTGAATGGTAGAAGAATTTCAAAAGGCCTCATTACGTTAATTCTCTTTGATTTAAAGGAAACCACTGAATATAAACATAAGGAAAGAGAAAAAGTCAGAACTAGAAAGGTTAATTAAGGGCGGAGAGGATCTACAAGGATCATTAAAGCCACAAAGTTGAAAAAAATAGGATTCGCCATCACGTAGATGTATTTAAACATGAAAAATTGTTCGAAAAAAGGAGAAAAAGCCGATTTTAAGTTATATAATACACCTAACACACTACAAATATTACAAGCTTAACACACTGCAAGAAATAACTTATAATTTTTCTTTGAATAAAAGGATAGTTATCTGTGATGACCAGTTCTCTGTCAATCATTCACTGCTCCGTAGGAGATTCTTAAGGAAAATTTATAACTGCTCTTAAAAGAAATGACAAATCAACGGGAAAAAATAAATACTTTGAATATTAACCGCAAAAACTTTGAATGAACTCTTCTACATCAAGGCTCAAGAGCAGTGTTATTTTTTCCCGTCGAACGTGCTGGTGTTTCATGACGTTTACATATTTTTTGGGCCAAGTTCACCCAGTACGTGTTTACATAACACGTTTAGTAAGGGAAAATTGAAAACAGTGTGGTTTTATAATTGCTCCGGAGGATGTGGTTAATCAGAATAGCTCAGTAGCTCAATATCGCCACATGTAAAGGTCAATAATAAACGGTTTCTTCACATTAAAGGTCCATGTCGCCAAAGAGCGATTGAGCGACGAGCACACCTCTTAGAGGAAATATCAGTGCATACCTTGAGTTATTCTGAAGCACGAATTTATGAAAGATGGTGGAGATATGGTTTGCTTGGAAATGAGAACTCCCCACAGGTGAGAATAGACCGTAAAAGAACAATTACGGTTGGAATTAATAAAGAAGAGAAATGTCGATAGGTCATTGGTAATCTTGAAATATCAAACGTGACAAAGCTTCTTTAGAATATTGCGAGTTGAATTTAAAGATTGACTAGCACAAAACCTTTTAATGATAATTTCTGAGCTAAAACAAAACCCTCTGATTCTGGGAAATAGCAAGCACAAGGTACCGGGTGAATGTTCTACCTCCGTACTTTAACATTAACCGCTTATATTAACTTTTTTATTTCATCAGACCATGCTTACAGGGTTAAATAAAATTCTTAGTTTTTAAATTTAAATTTTCTTCCTAATATTACTATTTACACGGACTACCTATAACGAACTGGTAAAAGGATATTTAGTCAGATCTTTTACGATCCAGAAACAGAGTAGTGGTTTCTTTTCAAGTTTTAACTTCTCAACTGAATGAATATGAATGAGCAGCCTACGTAAACATACACACTTTCCGCGCAGATTGAAGCTTATTGACATAACTATACAAACGAAAATGTTCATTGCCAATGTTTTCCCCAATTACTAACTTGCGATTAGCATCAAGCCACCATAATCCCTTAGAGGAATAATAAAGTTAATGATAGTGACCTAAGATGGGTAAATCAATTTGGCTGACTGGTTTTATATTGATTCCTTGAAAATTCAGATTGAAAAAAGTATTGACCATGTTGCGACATTCAGGCCTCGTCAAATGACGCACTTGACGTTCTCTACGTGTCCGTATAGAAAACGTTTATTGATAATCTAAGGTAGCGATTGTGCGAAACTGAATATCCGCCGTAATTGTTAACCCCACAATTAAAAAACACATTTTTCCTAATCAACGAAATTATCTTTCACCTTATAATTATGTAAGAGGCTAGCTAGATTTTTCGAGTGAATCGGCTGGAGAATAGATTTGAATTATTCTCAAACCTGTATCATCGTCCGAGGCTTAGAGGCGTTCGTGAGCTTTCAGATTAGAATGCCGGGTTGAAACTGTCACAGCGAGAAGAAGCATATGGAATAATGATTAACTTATCCCAAGGCTTCAAAAGGCATTTTTAAGAACGTTTGCGGACGAAAATTTTTAATTCCCTTCAAAAATGTTTAATGAGAAAGTGTGGTAATAGATTTTAACAGCTGTATGTCCTAAAGGCGCTCTAATTTTCAATCTTACTTGGAAATTTCACTAATTTCTCTTTTGACAGCTCAAGATCACAGGAGATATAGCCTCCATTAGTATGATTCGAAGAAATAAACGAACTCTAGGTCATAATGACCCTTTCGCGTGATTGAAAAAAACAGAAGACTCAGAAACAATAGACGTCAGGCTAGAATTGTAATTATTTCTGGGTTTGAGAAGTGTTTGCCAATAGCCACTAACAAACTGCTGGGAGTTTGAAATAGCCGTTCGTGACCTTATATAAATTTTAATTAGTATACACGTGTTGGTTTAGGTAGGGTTCATTAGTTTAGCTGTGTCTTCCTCTCGAAATCGATATGCAACTCACCGTCAGAGGACTTTATTACGAGAAGTTTAGAGATCATTAATTCATTTTCTTACTTGGCTTTGGTTATAGAAATTCGGCGACCTGAGCAAGGAAGCAAGACTGTGAAAAGTGTGTTTTGTCACAGCGCACCATTCGAAAGAGAAACTGAAAAAAATTGTCCAAGAACTTGTCACAATCGAAAAGACGTATCTGGATAGGTGTGAAAAAAGAAGTTTTAAGTCCGTGAAACAGATCATTTGGGAAATTTCATAGTGCAGAAACAACAGATACTGCAAGTATTCCCATGGAAGGAACGGCAGCCATGAAAAATGAAACTTTCTCATGTTATCATTTCATCAGCATTGACTTCGCTTATGCAGATTCTTCGCTCGGCTGGTACATTTTCAGTTGTGTGTTAACCGTGTTATTCGCCGTCACCGCCTCGTTCGCCAATGTATTGGTTCTTGTTGCCATTGTTAGAACTCCTTCGCTTCATTCTCCGTCTAACACGCTCCTATCTGGTTTAGCGCTAGCTGATCTGGGAGTCGGTTTGTTGGTTCATCCTCTATTCCTCATGCTAATTCTTGGGAAAATCACGCAAAACAAGAGCGTTTTCTGCGAAGCAGGAATCGCGATTGAAGTGATTGCAAATGCTCTTTGCATCATTTCTCTTTTGACTGTAACTGCGGTTAGCCTTGACAGGTATTTGGCTCTTCGCCTCCACCTTAGGTACAAGGAACTCATTACAATCAAACGTGTAATAATCGTTTTAGTAATTATCTGGATTACTGGAGCGCATTCTGGTACACTATGGCTCTACAAACATGACATGGTGAAATGGAATGTTATTGTAATAATTATACTATGCCTTATGGCTGCACTGTTTTCTTATTTTCAAATTTATCGCGCTGTTACGCGCGCTATACATTCAGAATTGATCATAAAATGTTCTGTGGATCAAAACTGCGAGGCAATGAACATGGCGAGGTTCAAATCGCACACCATCAGCACCTTTCTGGTCTATTGCTTGGTCATGTTGTGTTATTTGCCGTATTTCTGTGTCATAATCGTTGTGATACTGACAGGACCATCAATTTCAAAGCGGTTTGCGTATGATATGACTGCAGTGGGGGTTTTTCTAAACTCTTCACTCAACCCGTTAGTGTACTGTTGGCGTTTGGGAGATGTTCGTAATGCGGTGAGAAAAACTGCAAAGCTGATGGTCCCGGCCCAGTTTAAAAGAGAAGACGCAACGGTTGGACCGGCTTAAAAGCGCGCAGGTGCAGGAACGAACTGTGATATTTGCAAGTTTCCCAACGACAACGATCTAAGTTCGAAAGGAAGAAGTGAGGAAGTGCCTGGTTATATTTTTGTGAAGAAATTGCTAACGTAATAATAAAAAAAAAAACTATTGGCATCATTCCAGCGACAAGTTTGTTTAGTTTCTCCATATGTCATAGAGCGGGTTTGTACGAAATTTTAAGGTGAAAACAAAAAACCACAGCAGAAATGTAGCAAGTTGGATGTGCTGCAAAATGCTCGTGTTCCAATTAAGAATTGTCTCGAGTAGCTCAAGTTAGTAATCAATATTAGCGCACGCGGTGTACTTATTAATGCTTTTCCAAGATTAAGTTCCAGATCGCTATTTACGCATTTATGTTGGTTAATTAGACACGTTTCAGGCAAAGTCTTAAATCAACGAGGGAGCTGTTTACTCAAGCGAGGGAAGACGTATAAAGAGTGCTTTAACATATAAGAAGAAACTAAAGGAAAGAGGTTTTCCAAGAGCCCTTGCAGAGGTTTGAGCTAGACAGAGCATTCTCACCTGGTTATTCAAAAACAAGCATATGAAAAAAGAAAAAAAAAAAAAGGAAGGAAACAAGAGCAGAGTAAGAGCATACTTAGTTTTAAAAGTAACCGAACACCGACGGTCAGGTTTCACCTTTTTCTGACTGGTGAATTTCCGGGCCGAGATAAAGTGTTAGAGGGAACTTAGCCTACTGAAAGGAAGACACATATATACATGAAAAAATGATAAGACCAATAAAATAGTACCGTGAAGAAAACAGCCGAATGTTACAAGAAGATATCTATAGACCACTTTCATAAATGGCTGCCGGATTAATATTCTTTTGCTTGAATTTAAATTAGCCCTTCTGGCCTCGTTCTCCAATACCAAATTCAAAAGAATACATTATCTCAAGCGAGGCCAGAAGGGCTGATTTAAATTTAAACAAAAGAATATTAATCCGATAGCCATTTATGAAAGTGGTCTATTGGTCAGCAGGTGAAACTTTACCAAGCAGATTTCGTAATGTGTCTTTTTTTGTTTTCTTTGATGTTCAATTTCCCGTACTTGTTCTACACGCACATTATGTAGTTACATTTCTTTATAAACAACACTGTCCGATAAGTCAGAAAGAGCGACTAATCCGACGTCTCGTTGTTTACAATTTTACTTCGTCATTTCTCTTTCTTAGATGGGCTGCCGAAAATTTTACTATTTATTCCCTTTGCAATTTCCTTTTAGAAAATATGCGGCGGAAGAGTATAAAGTTTCTCCTTTCGCTGCATTGTTGCTTTTGGGTAAGGCGGCAGTTGCGCATGCCCTCTTAAAGCGGATGCAATCTTCTCTTTATCCGCCGATGTCATCTTGGCATCGGGTTCCCTTTCAGGCAGTTGCAAAAATCTCTCCTGTGTTTTACTCCTACATAAACGTTTTACAGACCATAAACAAAAAAATTTTTTTAGGCACAGCCAAATCAGTTGGACTCGTTTAAGATAGAAGTACTAACGGCGTAACAAGACTTAGAAATTCATAATCATTTTCGGAGTGAAAGATATTTACAAAAGAACTGCCAACAATCAGTTGATTGCCGGAGTAAACATCTCACGCATTGCTCTGAAAGAAAAAATTAAAACTGATCCGATAAAGCAAATTTTCTTGGAGGCGAGCCTCTTAATGTATACATCAGAACCTCAATAAAAATTTTAACTGATATAAATATGGATAAATTCACTTCTGAAATCAATAAATCGACGTTCCTGCCGCATTATAGTCCGTCCGCGTGTTTTGCACTTGTCTCAAAATTTCACTCATCATTTTATTTTAAAGACATTTGTCGTTACCCCTTCTCCCTCTCATTTCACATACTCCAGAACATTCAAATCAAGAAATGGTTCGCAAAGAAAAAGATGAAATAGACTCCTCTTCACAAAATGGTTGCTGAAATCTAAAACTTTTTTTTTTATGAAAACTGACTTTCTTAACAAAAAAAAAAAAAGAAAAACCAGGATCAAAGAGGTGATAATTAAAAACTGCGAGCGAAATCATCAATTAAAACTTATCTGACAAACAATGGCATGGGAAAATTTCTACTTAAAGACTTTTTTACGCCTGTGAATAGCTGCAGCATGGAAATCTAATCAAACAAAAGCTGTCAGTTTTTCAAAATTTAAAATTGCCACATCTCAGCCGAAACGACAAGTTACAAATTGAAATATTGCAAGATTACCATACGAAGGGTTTCCATTTGAAGGTAAGCATGATTTGCAGTGTAGTTTAAGATTTTAGAGTAATTTCAATTTTCAGTCGCCGGTTCAGAGACAAATCTGTTTGTATAGGGTTTAATTTCTCAGCCATGACGGATGTCTGCTTCAGATTATTACATTAGATAATGCAAGTGTGTATATGGTTCGCTCGGAATGTGATACAGTTAACCTATACCCTCCTTATTAAATCACTCTGTCATTTCGAAGAAGAGATTTCTTATGACAGCATGGCCCATGCTCTTTTTTGGATAGCTTCTAATTGTTCCAAAAATTTCCAGTAGATGAGAAACAAAAAAGACACTTTGCTGCTGAAAGAAAGTAGCGTGACTGCCAAGCAGCAACATTAGAAATGGCGGCGTCGATGGCAGAATTTTCGCTCTCTGAACATTGGTTGGTGTCCTAACTTCCAACTGAAAAGATGAAACTAACAGTTTCTTGAGCATAAATCTTGTCTAATGAGTGAACACTTTTTGATCAAGTATAAAAAAAAATGGAACCGAATCTCAAAGGCCAATCAGAACGAGAAGAGAGTTTGGGGAAAAAAGGGAGGGGGATACGTTCAGTGGGGTGGGGGAGGAGG